CATAATAACATTTGATCGGAAATTTTATAGTTATCATCATTGAAGCAGCTGTCGGGTACATTTAGTTTGTGTTGTGATAGGAAATAGGCAAAATTTTTTTTTTGTTTAACCATTTTGTATGTCTATAATGATGTATTTTTCTATTTTTTGATAATTTTGAACCAAAAAGACATAATTTCCTATTAGCTGCAGGGCTTGATCATAATGTTTGAAACATTATGACAAAAATTCAGTGGGTTTTATTTTTTGAAAGGTGTAAAAAATTCAAATTCAATGCATGTGAATATGGTAAAAATTTCCTCTCGCTACACTTTTGTGTGCGATTTCAAAAACTACAAACCTCCTGAGGATTCAACTCTTATCTACACGATTCTGTTAAGGAGACTAGAATTTCTTCTACAAAGGTTTTTTGTCATTCCTAATAAACCTCTTTGTTCGTAATTATTTATTTTCTGCATTGCATCATTCCTTGGGGAATACGACATCCTACCCAGGCACCATGGGAACTGTTTTGAAGATTTCTAGACTGTATCAAACATGAATAACTAAGAAATGTCAAGGTTAGATTTGCGTTATACCCCGAAGACATCAGATTTCATTCTGTCAGTTGTCATCTCTTCAAACAAAAAAAGTAAATTGTTATCACAGAGATCAAATTCCCCTGGCGTTGCTTTAAATTTTCAATCTGTCACTGCCACGTTAAACTGATTCTTTTCCTGCCTGGATTTATGCTTGATTTGTCGCAAGTTGTCCCTTGGTGACATCGTTCAATGGTTTTGACTTTAAATGGCAGCTATCATCTATATGGCTGATATGGGAATTAATAAAAATGTATTGTTTAATAAACTGAAAATTTAATTGTTCATGGCATGGTGACTGTGCAATCGACCGTTGAAAGTCAGATTCATGTGAAGATATGCCAGATGCTGTGGTTGCCTAGTAACAATATGCCAAATACATGTGCATGCATGTACATATCAAATAATTTTTGGCACCCTTCAATTATATTATATTAGATTTTTAATAATATTTTATATTCAAGCATAATATTTTTATGTGTTATGAAATACAGAAAACAAACATTTTTTTTATATTGTGCAATAAAATAACATAAAAAAACATGAAAGAAAAATGTGCACGTTTCTTATTTAAAAAAAACTAAACAAAGACATTTTTGTGTGATTATTATTATCAGAAGAACATAATTTTGGTACAATATTTTGAACATTTTTATATATTTTTATAACTTCATTGTTAATTTTAGGTCACATGGACATAATTTCCTATTGGCTTTAGTTCTTCATTAAAATTTTGGGAAAAAATATGAAATATTTTGAGAAAAGTGATGTAAGATGACTCCCCCACTCTTTGTCTCCACAGTCAACGTGTGTGTCACTTCTCATGAAATAAACATGCACAGATTTCCATATTTTATTGATCAGCATCTATAGTATATCTAGTCTAAAATTAAAAGGAGAAATTATGGAAAAAAACATGTACAAAGCTTGCTGCTAAATAAAAAACTGATATTCATAAATCATGCATAATAAAGTACAGTTTCTGCATCCTTTGCTTTACATAGTAAACTGTGAACCACAGAAAATTTTCGGTGGTGAAAAATTCGTCAGTGACGTAAATTTGTGAATACAAACATCCAAAAAATCTTTAAATTGTGAGCAGCAGCGAAAATTAAATGGTTAACTGTATGCCGAAACATAAGATGGTTGTTGTCTTCAAACGTAGGTCTGTGTTTTAAATTATTAGAGCCCAGAAAACCGAAATACAAAAGTGTCTACTTTTACTACAGATTACATTACTTATTTGCTGTGTACAGTATACATTTAACAAACCAGTTTTAAGCAAACCCATTCGGAGTACTTCAGTTAAAATGTTCTCAAGCATCGGTTTTAAAAGCATGTGAAATCTGAACCTGGAAGTGTTCTTAAAGTCCACTTACAAATGTATCTTGGTTTACCATAAAACACTCTCCCTGATTGGCTAAGAAAATACTGATACATGACATGTGACCAGGTATTATCCAATCAATATATCTTATAATAAAAAGAATTAGTCCACACATTCGTGTGCATATAACTGCCCTACCTTAAGCGCTAATAAGAAATATTGTGAGTTGATTACACCACTCTGTCGTATTCTGATTTTATATGCTAAGTACGTCTAAGGTTTGTACGTACTTAACCTCTCGTTTTCCTTGATTATAGGAATGTAACAGCTCGCATGAATCATTGAGAAAAGGGAGTTTCTGTAATCAAGTTAATTGATATACATGGCCATGGTAACTTTTAAAATCACCTACATGTAATCTAAATGAAATATATATACCATGATTTTCTTTTCTAGAATTTATGGCTGTGTGTGTAGTTTTTTAAAGTCCCTGTTTGTTAGCACTGGGACTGTTTAATTCCACTGTGTATATAAACAATGTGAGATTTCATAACAAAAAGAGTGTAAACCGCTTTGTGATTCATGAGTGACACATTCAGGAAAAAAAAATTGCGCAAATTCTGTTCAAATATTCACTACTACAAAATTTGACTTTTGCAAAATTGCTTTTTCACAAATGCTATTGCAAGTAGCTCGTTAATTTCTAAGTGATTTCAAATGTCAAAGACATTACAAAATGGGACGGGGACTATGTCACCAATTTCACCTATGTGTTTGGTTCATGGATATGCTTTGACCTTTACTGCATCAATTGATCATTAAAACATCAACAAA